ACGACCGGAGAGTTCGAGAAAGTTCTCCAGAAAAGTCCAAAAAGTTCCGGAGCTTCGGGCTGGAAATACAAAGTGTGTCGCATTCCTATGGTTTCAGCAGCGGCAGCGGGGCCCCGCCCAGTTTCATGACGTCATCGGGGACGGAGGGAGGGAGAGAAAGGGAGAGAGAGAGAGAGTGTGTGTGTGTGTGTGAGAGAGAGAGAGTTTGTGTGTGAGAGAGAGAGAGAGAGAGAGAGAGAGAGAGAGAGAGAGAGAGAGGAGAAGGAGAGAGAGTGTAGAGGTCTACAGTTCTCCTCAGTGTTCTAGTCAAATGATCAGACCTGGTCCCTCCATCACTATCTCAGCTCTACTCCTTCAGCAGGAAGTTAAAGCAGCTTCATGTGACTATTTTTGAGTTGGATATAGTGCACATACTTGTATAAAGTGTACATACTTGTATAAAGTGTACATACTTGTATATTGTAAAGCAGCAGTAGGGGAGGGTGGGGTAAGATGATCCATTTTTCATATTCTGGATCAACTAACTCCACTCTGGACTTTTTGGGGCCAATGCCCATACCAATTATTCGGGGGTAAAAAATCAGATTACCGATTAATGGGCCGATTTTTCACATTTTTTTATGACGTTTACTGTAGATATCTACAGTAGTAGATATCTACAGTACATACTGTAGATATCTACAGTAGTGGATAATTGGCCGATTACTGATTAGTCTCCAACGGGCTAAAATTGGCCGATTTAATCGTCTCGCTGATAAATCCGTCGGGCCGTAGTTTATTTTGATTATCTATTGATTGTCTTATTGTTTATCTCCTTTTCTACTTTACTTCCACTGGAGTTACTGTAACAAAAAGAAATCTTCCCCCTGGGATCATTAAAGTATTTCTGATTCTTTATAAATCCGAGGTCACTCCGGTGGAAATGGTCACCGCTGAGCTGCTGTCAGGTGATTTCTGATTATTTTCAGATGATTGAGAAATACTGAAGTGAGTAAAATGTCCTCCACAGTCACAGACAGACACTCACATGTAGTGGTCTAGTGTTTCTATGACACTGTGGCTCCACTAACATCTGAGTATTATCTACTGGTCTCTAAAGTCTTCATCAGACTTTTTTAAAGCCCAAGGACGTGTCCCCAAAATCCTGTTTTGTCCACACCTCTAAATCAATGACTGCTACAGCACAGTATATCCATAAACTAGTTTCACATATTTACAATATTTGCCTACCGTAGCTAATCTGAGGAGGACAGGCTGCTGTCAAATACCATGTCTGTCTGCTAATATAAACACATGATCCCTCACTGAGATATAACAGAGGCACGTCAAGGCTGAAAACCAGTGAACACACTGGGAGAGGACATGTGTCCATGACTCACTTCAACTCTTTAACAGCTCCTGACCAGGAGACCAGAACTAAAAACCATTAAAGCCTCTCAGTCTGTGTCCACCTTCATGTTCGAAACTGCAGCTCCTCATCACACCTGACACAGGTGAGCTCTGTCACCTCCTCTAATCTATAATCTATTATCTATAGACAGATTTGAATATAATCAATAATCTGTAAACAGACTTTAAAATAATCTATAAACAGACTTTAATATATATTATAATCAATAATCTATAAACAGACTTTAATATATATTATAATCTATAATCTATTATCTATAACCTATAAACAGACTTTAATATATATTATAATCTGTAATCTATTATCTATAACCTATAAACAGACTTTAATATATATTAAAATCAATAATCTGTAAACAGACTTTAATATATATTATGATCAATAATCTATAAACAGACTTTAATATAATCTATAAACAGACTTTAACATATATTATAATCTATAATCTATTATCTATAACCTATAAACAGACTTTAATATATATTATAATCTGTAATCTATTATCTATAACCTATAAACAGACTTTAATATAATCTATAAACAGACTTTAATATATATTATAATCAATAATCTATAAACAGACTTTAATATATATTATAATCAATAATCTGTAAACAGACTATAATATATATTATAATCAATAATCTGTAAACAGACTGGGGGCTGTCAGAGTCGATGAAACGGCCTGTTGACGTTCCTGTGAGAGTGAATCTACAGATCAGCGTCAGAAACACACCGACCCACCCACCGGCCAATCAAGAGGCTGGATTCAAACAAAGCATGCAGTGTAGCAGCCAATCAGGGCGGACTTCCAGGAGCAGGCTGAGGAATGTGGAAAGGTCAATGATAAAGACGAGGGGGGGGGGGGGCATATTTCTGCTGCACACGTTCACACACAGGCTGATAGTTTGAGTCTGAACAGGAGCTTCAGAAAATACAACATTCAACAAGAGAACAAGGTCAAGGTCAAGAGGGGTCAAAGGTCAGAGGAAGAGGCGGGGCTTTAATAACCGCACATAAGTTTGAATAACAGCTGAAGAAACGAGAACAAAACGAGAAGAACAAGAAGTGAGTCAACAGAAGAAGACGACAGAAGAATATTTGACTGAAGGGAATATTTACACTGAACTGAGCAGAGAGGACAGACAGGGGACAGACAGGGGACAGACTGAGGACAGACTGAGGAGAGACAGGGGACAGACAGGGGACAGACTGAGGACAGACAGGGGACAGACAGGGGACAGACTGAGGAGAGACAGGGGACAGACAGGGGACAGACAGAGGACAGACAGGGGACAGACTGAGGACAGACTGAGGACAGACAAGGGACAGAAAGAGGACAGACTGAGGACAGACAGGAGACAGACTGAGGACAGACAGGGGACAGACAGAGGACAGACTGAGGAGAGACAGGAGACAGACAGGGGACAGACTGAGGAGAGACAGGGGACAGACAGAGGAGAGACAGGGGACAGACTGAGGACCGACGGAGGACAGACTGAGGAGAGACTGAGGAGAGACAGGGGACAGACTGAGGACAGACGGAGGACAGACTGAGGAAAGACAGGGGACAGACTGAGGACAGACTGAGGACAGACAGGGGACAGACTGAGGACAGACAGGGGACAGACTGAGGACAGACAGGAGACAGACAGGGGACAGACAGGAGACAGACTGAGGACAGACAGGAGACAGACTGAGGACAGACAGGGGACAGACTGAGGAGAGACAGGAGACAGACAGGGGACAGACTGAGGACAGACAGGGGACAGACAGGAGACAGACAGGGGACAGACTGAGGACAGACAGGGGACAGACAGAGGACAGATTGAGGACAGACAGGGGACAGACAGAGGACAGATTGAGGACAGACAGAGGACAGACAGAGGACAGACAGGGGGCAGATTGAGGACAGACTGAGGACAGACTGAGGACAGTCTTTAGGGCTGTCTCACTCTGACATTGATGGACTGTCTTCCTCACAGAGTGTTTCAGGTTGAAATGAGGACAGGTTCTGGACTTGTTGTGACTCTTTAAGGACATTGGTCTTGGTCGATGACACAGAGTGAGCGGGTGACAGCAAGAAGGTCATTGAGGGGTTAACGGGTTCAGTGGGAGCAGCAGGTCCAATGACTGAGCGGGTCTAGAAAAGCTGAACCTGGTCCAACATCAGACAGGTGGGGGGGCGGTCTCTCAGCCCAGGACCCTGGATCAGTTTTGTTTTTGGACTCTCCTGGTTTTCGGTGTTTTCTGTAAACCTCACTGTGGTCTACCTGTGCAGGTGAAGACTGACATCATCATCATCATCATCAGATCTGAGGTCAGTGAACTCTCCTTCTCATAGATGACTCTGAGAAGTTCATGAACTGTTGGAGGACAGACTCAGAGGAGCACTCGTCTGGTTTCTCTGAGATCATGATAATAACATAGACTGTATCTAGAACGGACGAGAACAGCGCCCTCTGGTGACGGGCTGCAGTATAGGTCCTAAACCCCGCCTCCTTATGGAGCTGTGGACAAACTTTATAAATGAATGACACAGAATATAAATGTTTCTCCCCCCTGGTTGTGATGTTGACATGTAGTTACTGTCAGACTGGTTTGTGCTCAAGTCCTCTTTTTTCTGTACAGCTCCATTTTTAAAAGTTATTAGGGGGTTCATGTTTGCTATGATTGACACCTGATACAGCCTATGGGAGGACAGAGATTGAGTAGATCACCGGGGGATACGCTGTTTGAGCCGAGCGTCATCACAGAGACTCTCGCCGACTCTCCCGCTGAATGTGAACAACGTTACTGCGCGATGTTGGTTTCAGGAAGTGGAGAAAAATCAGAAATACTGAGAACTTCTCATCTTCAAATCCGTGTTCAGGCGGGAGGAAGAACCAAGTGGTCCAGAGTAAATACAGTCCATGTTTTGAACAGGCAGGGATGCTTCGAGTGTGAAATCCAGAGATTTTCAGACAGATCTGTTTGGACACACCCTCAGCATCTAACCTCATTTATCTGGATCAATGATCTGGTGTTCTCGCTGCCAACTACCATGATAACACTCAGCCTGCTGGGCCTCATGTTCAGACCTGTGAAACAGCTCAGAGTGTTCCTCCTGAATCTGTCCCACATCCTTCATGAAGCTCTCAGACCGGCTGTCAAACACAACACCAGTCTGTGCTCCACGCTCCTCATCACTTCCTGCTGTGGCGTCATGGTCGCCATATAAACACACAGTCAGACGTATCATTCAGAGCAGCAGCAGCTGTATCATCAGCACCACACACACACACACACACACACACCGCTGCTCTACGTCATCAGGGCCCAGACATCCAGAGTGGTCCACGTCCAGAAACTGATCAGCTGATTCAGAGGCTGCAGAGGTGAAAGTCTCTCTCTCTCTCTCTCTCTCTCTCTCTCTCTCTCTCTCTCCGTCTCAAAAACAAACACAGATGCCTCTGTGTGATTCATGTGCGAGCCGAGGCTAGTGTCAACAAGTCCTCCCAGTGTGTGAAGCTTAGTGCCAAAAACAGATGAAGTTGTTGTTCTCTGAAGGTTTCCAGAAAACTCTTCTCTGATCCTGGTCAGAGGTTAACAGCATGTCAAGGGTTAATAATGAGGAGAACAAAAAGGACAGCAGCAGCAGCAGCAGCAGCAGCAGCTCTGTGTCACCGATCCGGACTATTCCAGTGACGGAGGGGGCGCAGCATGACGGAGCTCCTACTTCCACATTCACACTGAGGATAACAGAGCTGCCACCGTCCAGAACTATCTTTGCAGTGTGAGCAGAGTTTGTTCAACCTCCAGAATATCCCTGCAGAGCTGCTGCTGCTGCAGGTCTGAGCTGGACTTTTCAGACAAACATCTGCACACCCACAAACACCAGAGTCAAAGACCTCCTCACCGTCAGGAGGACAAAAACTCACCGGAGAAGAGGAGAGAAAAGCAGAGATTATTCTCACTGTCATCCCTTAAACCAGGAACTTTAACACTCAGAATAATCCAGGCCTCCAAACACTCAGACTAAAACCGACTCTGTTTCCACCATCAACATGTCGCTTTATTTGAACAGTCAGTCACAGTTTTCCAGCACCGCTGATAACGTCCAACAAACTAACTAACTGACCCTGAGAGTGATGGTGGAGTTCTGTGACGCAGGTGTAGCAGGTCTATGGTGGAGTTAATCTAAGGTGATTCAAGTCAGCAGGTCTGGAGGTATTTTAGAAGATGTCTGAGGAGAAGTTCACCTTTCAAACACACATTTATCCTGATAAATCACGATGATAATAAGACATTAAAGAAACTTTTGGCCCCTGACAGCAGCAGGTCGGTGTCGGCTCTGAAAAACATGCTTTTGTTCTGATATTGAATGTTGTTGTTTTTTTGGCGCCTCTGTTCCTGTCGGCCGTGTTGATGTTGGCTCCTGCGGTCATTCCACAGAGGATTTTCGTTCCTCTCAATAAGCTCCTGTTCCCCGTCACAGAGGAGGAGGAGCAGCTGCTTTTTTTCTGCTTCTTCTTCATCAGAGCTCAGATCATCTGTGACCACAGTCATCTCCTCCTCTGACCACTGATGAGTTTGGTATGATCCACTAAAGCCGTGGTCCTCCTCACTGGTCTGATCATTTCTGATGTTCATGAAGAGATGAGCAGTAAAGACAGAAATAAAGGACTGAGCAGACAAACTCTAAAACAGAAGGAAGGAGAACAGAGAGACCAACCATGACCACACTCTCTTCATCCTCTCAAACTCTTCTTCTTCACCTGCCCCAGGTGTCCAGGTGGACTCGGGGATTTCTGATGTTTCCTCTGAATAAGTTTTCTATGGATCAGCCTGCTGCTGGATCAGGATCTCACACACACACACACACACACACACACACACACACACACACACACACACACACACACACACACACACACTCTCTCTCTCTTCCTCTTCACTTTGAAATCTCTCTCTTACACACAAAGCCTAACCTCCTCCTCCTCCTCCTCCTCCTCCTCCTCCTCCATCTCTACAAAAACAACCCCTTTATATGAAACAGCTGATTCGTAGAAAAATGTCTCTCTGACATGTCTGTCGCTGACCCTCCATCATCTGGACCTTCTGGACCTTCTGATGGAAGACGACCACACTGACTGGGACAGTCACGATAATTGATCATGTGACCATCACATGATCAGGTTCGTAGTGTGTCGGTGTGAAAGCTGGTAGGAGTCTCAAACAGCAGCTGTGTTTGTTTACCTCCATCTCAGTCTGAGGGACCCTCAGGTCAGCCTCCATCAAACCAACGTCAACACCCACCCTCCCAACAGCTCCACCCCCTGCTGGACACGTCTGTCAACAGCATCTTCTGTTCCTGAGTGTCTTTGCCTCTAGGACCCTCCTCCCCTGCTGTGACCCACCACAAATACCCTCTCCTGGACCCACAGCGAAAACTGTGGGAGTGTCTTCAACTTGAGCGGTTCCAGATGTTCTTGTTTTTTTTACAGTGAAGAGTTTTTTTTTATTTTGAATATTAGAAACTGCAGGAACATTGAGCAGCGTACAGTGTTTAAAGTCGGGCTGCACCGATCACCGATCTTTGAAAAGCTCGACCTGCTGATACCGACTTTATTTAGATAACTGACGACATAAACCTTCGATGTTCTGATCTTAATTAATGTGAATTTCACAGTTTGGGATCAATAAAGTATATCTATCTATAAATGAAAAACATTCAACGATACCTGTCAAACAGTACAACCTTTTAGTGTTTAACTGCACAAGTTCATTCTCTCAAACATTTGAGAATATTTCTGTCCAAACTCCTGAACTAAATCCGCTCCTTTAGTTTTTGATTTTCCACATTTTAAACATGAACATGAAAGTTTGTAAAATAATCATCGACAGGACAGAATTAACTGGTGGGCGGGGCCTGTCATAAATAAAATGTGATCAAATCGGTTTAATGTGGAAGGATCAGCCCATCACCGATCCCTGAGGTTGAGGAAATCGGCGCCGATCGATCAGCCGGACGATTTATCGGTGCATGTTCAGTTTAAAGCACTTCTAAGGACGCTGACGTCTTTATGAGATCTTTGCACAGATGATGTACGGAAACGCTTCATTCAGTGAAAGAGTCACGACAACAGGAAGTCCGACCTCTCATCACACATGCCGTCTTAAGATTACTGAATCTTTAAAATGACTAATCCACGACAGAGCGACGGTTAGATGACCTCTGTCTCAGTGAGCGCTCTTCTGTTCGAGTTAATGTGACTGCTGTACCAACCACGGTGAGAGAACATCTATGATGGTCCTGATCTACCTCTGAACTGGAGATGATGATTTCACTAACCTGACACTCAGCCCCTCCATGACCCACTTTTCACTGCTGATGTACAGTGGGGGTTGACTATGATGGAAGCAGAGAGAGAGAGAGAGAGAGAGAGAGAGAGAGAGAGGAGTGACCCCTCAATACAGCTCTGGCATCCCAGGAATGTACGGTGTGTCCGGCACTAATCGCACAACCTTGATGACTAACCTGCTGCTGCTGCTGGAGGCCAAAAGTCTTTTCTTCTCAGACTGACTCCGCCCTCATGGATCTGCTGCTGAGGGTTTAACGTAGACGAGAGAGTACTGAGAAATGACCTGGATATAGGTCAAAGTGGGGTCACAGGGAGGAGGAGAGACGAACTACATCGAACCTCAGACACAAAATAACCTCGGATTCAGTCTGACCTGACAAACACGACCCCGCCCACTTTCACAGCAGAGGCGTGTCCAGACGGACGGCGGTGGACCCCTTTGAAAACAGATTTTCACAGCAGGTATCAAAGCTGGACTGGGATCAACAATTTCACTATCTGACACTCCTGTGAGACCCAAACTGGAGACCATGGTGACCCTGTGACAGTAAAACCAGAGGTCTTTGAGGAACACCGGGTTCTCCTGTTTCTACTGCACAGGTCACAGCAGAGCAGACTCAAGCTTCAGGAGCTTTTGGATCCAGTACGAGGGAGTACTGCTGTCTCACTGCGTCAAAAAAGAGAAACGGAAACGGACGATCAGAAACTACAGACAGCTAGGAGTGGAGACCAGATCCTGGTTCTGAGAGGGACCCAGATCTGCAGATCTAAAACCTTTTTAACTTCAAAACATTTGAAGAAAACCAGATTTTCACCGAGTCACAATCATGTCAAATCCATGATCCAAGAACTCCCCTCAAAACCAGGACGCTACAGGGAGGAGCAGGAGGAGGAGAGAGAGGAGAGCAGGGAAAGGAGCAGGGTTAGGAGAGAGGAGACAGGAAGAGGAGAGGAGAGGAGAGAGGAGAGAGAGGAGAGCAGGGAGAGGAGAGGAGAGAGGAGAGCAGGAGGAGGAGAGAGGAGAGCAGGGTTAGGAGAGAGGAGACAGGAAGAGGAGAGGAGAGGAGAGAGGAGAGCAGGGAGAGGAGAGGAGAGAGGAGAGAGAGGAGAGCAGGGAGAGGAGCAGGAGGAGAGCAGGGTTAGGAGAGAGGAGACAGGGAGAGGAGCAGGAGGAGGAGAGAGGAGACAGGGAGAGGAGCAGGAGGAGGAGAGAGGAGACAGGGAGAGGAGAGGAGAGAGAGGAGAGCAGGGAGAGGAGAGGAGAGAGGAGAGCAGGGAGAGGAGCAGGAGGAGAGCAGGAGGAGAGCAGGGTTAGGAGAGAGGAGACAGGAAGAGGAGAGGAGAGGAGAGAGAGGAGAGCAGGGAGAGGAGAGGAGAGAGGAGAGAGAGGAGAGCAGGGAGAGGAGCAGGAGGAGGAGAGAGAGGAGAGCAGGGAGAGGAGCAGGAGGAGGAGAGAGGAGAGCAGGGAGAGGAGCAGGAGGAGAGCAGGGTTAGGAGAGAGGAGACAGGGAGAGGAGCAGGTGGAGGAGAGAGGAGACAGGAAGAGGAGAGGAGAGAGGAGAGAGAGGAGAGCAGGGAGAGGAGCAGGAGGAGGAGAGAGGAGAGCAGGGGGAGGAGCAGGTGTGTGTATCTGTGAGTTTGTTCTGAGAGGCTGTAGTGATCACGATCACGCACAGACACAGCTTAGAACTGCTGAGAGACCGCGTCCAGAGCTGAAACAAATCAGAGACAAATGTACCGACAACTTATCTCTTTATACAAATTTGAAGCCGAATAGTTCTCTGTATTTCTGAGATGACGCTCGGCTCAAACAGCGTATCCCCCGGTGATCTACTCAATCTCTGTCCTCCCATTGGCTGTATCAGGTGTCAATCATAGCAAACATGAACCCCCTAATAACTTTTAAAAATGGAGCTGTACAGAAAAAAGAGGACTTGAACACAAACCAGTCTGACAGTAACTACATGTCAACATCACAACCAGGGGGGAGAAACATTTATATTCTGTGTCATTCATTTATAAAGTTTGTCCACAGCTCCATAAGGAGGCGGGGTTTATGATCTATACTGCAGCCCATCACCAGAGGGCGCTGTTCTCCATAAAACTGCGATAAAATGTAAGCAGATCAAAAGCTCAAATCCTTCAGTGTTTGTGACACTGTAAAAATAATCTGCTCTGAGTGAAATCTGACATTTAATTTAGTGAGTTTGATCATCAAAATGAAGCCGAAGCTTTCATGGGAACTGATGGACGGCTGCTTACAGTTGACTTCATAGTTTTATAACAAGAGTTTTTTACATCTAAAGAGATTTTAAGCTCTCTGTGTTACAGATGTTAAATGTACGGTGGCCGAGAACGGCCACTGCAGCAAAAAAAAAAAAGAATGCAAAAAAGAAAAACAAAGCCTGCTGCAAATAAAAAAGAATGGTGCAGATTTACAAAAAAAGACACAACAGAGATTAACACTGTAAAAAAAAAAAAGAGTTAGTTACTGTGTAAATAAAAGGATGCAAATAGGGCCACAACTGAAGTGAGCTGCTGGGGACAACTAATGAAAAAAGTAAGGGGTCTGTGTACTTATTTCTCGGAGTAAAGCTACCGAACTGGACTCTCCTCTCGTGGGTCTTTCAGGGTGTAGTGGGTTTCCTGTGTTAGCTGAGGCTAACTCTACAGGGGCATCCTCCAGTTTAACTTCATATGGACTCAGGCTCTACATGGTCTAACCAACTGACACATAAAAAAGTTTACCAAGTGAAATTAAACAATAACCTTTTTTTCTATTTTCATCCTTTTATTTTCGCAGTAAGTTACTTTTTTTTTCGCTGTGGCTTTTTTTAAATCTGCACCGTGTTTTTTATTATGTGCAGCTGCTTTACTTTCTTTTCTTTCTTTTTTTTTGCATCAGTAACTTCCATTGTGGCTTCTTTATTGTTTGCAGCACTGGCTGTTCTCGGCCACCGTACAAATCTAATCCCTTTGATAACAGTGATATCAGCATCAAAAATATTCAGATGATGAACTCATGTTCATAACACACGCACACACACACACACACACACACACACACATGCACACACACACACACACACACACACACACACAGGTCAAACAGGGAGTTTCTCCGTGTCTCAGACCCACGCGTGGGTTTATCCACATTAACATCCCCGACAGAGAAATAAAGATTCTCCTCATACAAAAACTAAATCTCCTGTTTTCAGGTCCAGACTGTCTCCTGGATTTAGCTCAAAGCTCAGGGGGTCTTAACAGGAACCGGATCCACCATGGAGTGGGCTGAGTTCTGGTTCCGGAGCTGAGACTCTAAACTGTTGATCAACTTTCTAAAGTGACACTTGGACCGTGGAAACACGTCGGAACCAGAACCAATCCCCTTCCCGGTGAGGATACCGTCCCCTCAGAGGCACACAGACGGTTTCAGGGAGGTTCTCCTGGTCCGGTTCTGACCCGGACTGGTCGGTCCTGAAAGCCGCTAACGTTAGCTTCAGCTAGCATCCGACCCGGGATCAGAGAGGCGCCACAGCCCGCTAAAACTCGGATTCTCGGGAGTAAACGAGCCCACTCACCTCCGAACTCCCCGGGAAAAGTTCTCCTGCTGTCACCGCGGGCTGGAAACGAACTTTCCCCCGGTCCAAACTCAGCAGACTCCGGCGAACTCTGGACTAACTGACGAACATTAGCTCAAGTCTTACTTTCCCGACGCCATGTTGAACAGTGGGAGAAATACGACATCCGGGAAACTGCAGCCGAGCGCCATGGCAACCGAGGCAGCGACGGGCCGCGAGGAGCAGCCGCGAGGATCAGGAGCGGCCGCGAGGAGCAGACATGACGAGAACTCAGAGAGCTGAGTTTACCGTGACCCAGGGTTCGACTGTAGTTCCTGTCCTGAACAGACGGAGAGTCAGAGCTCTGAAATAACCATGACTATGAATTAAACATGAAAACATCTACGAGGAGAAAAAGGTCCAAACATGAGGGAGTGACGTAACCAGAGTGACTCAGGATAGAAAGATAAATTTAGTGAAGATACGGTATAAAGACGTAAATGTATGATGACGTCATTTAATCATTGATCTATCGAGTTTACACTTCTCTATAAATCTTTAATGGTGTTCCGAAACCTTCATAACGTCTTTCTGTTCTTTTATTATATATATATATATATATATATATATATATATATATATATATATATATATATATATATATATATATATATATATATATATATATATATATATATATCTATCACAAAAGACACGAGATTTGGTGAGGATGAGGATGAGGATGAGGATGATGAGGATGCAAACACAGACCTGGTTGTTGTGAGAGGATATCTACTCAGTTTCATGTCATATTAAAGGTTGACTCAGTGACTCTTTGAAAATTCGAGACCTTAAAGGTTCAGTGGGTGAATTTCCCCATCAGTGTCCTGCTAACAGTAACGACAGCCTAACGACCCCCTTCTCCTCTGCCTTTGTGGGTCAGCAGGGCAGCTGTGAATGTGTCTGTCTCCTGTACGGTTAAATCAATACTCTGATGGATGGTGTGAAATAGTGCTGCCTTTAGAGCTCCTCGTTTACGGCTGCTAATGATTTCACATTCCTGTAAGTGGAAACACAAATAATTGACCCTTTTCTCTTGATTTACCTGAGGAGTGGTCTGCAGAGGACCATGAACTAAAGAACGTTTGCATGTCTGTCTCATCACAGAGCTCTACTCCAGTTCACTGTTTCTCTTCTCTGATTTCACAGCCTCACTTTTGCAGGTTCAGTAAAACAGGTGATGGGCTGTGCAAGAGTTAAAGTATACAACAGTACAAAATCTCATATGAACATCAAACTTAGTTTTACAGTGACAGAATCCAAATTATTATGAACAAAGAATTTCTCCCCATATTTTCAAACATAACCAGGAGAAATACTGATATAATTCTGAATATCAAAGAATAACCCGCCTTATAATAGAGTTCACCGCTAAACTCAGTGGTTAATGTCTCCAAACTGAATCTGGACTCAGTTCTGCCCAAACTCTCAGAGGAGTGTGTGATTTTCAGACTAAAATAACTCTGAAAATAGAAGTTTGACCTTCAACACTGACCTCTGCTGTTTCAAACTGGAACTGCAGGCTGTGGTTCCCAAACAGGGATCCAAACCATAGACTGTATACTGTATATACTATATACAGTCTATGATCCAAACATGCAGCTCACATGAAAGTCAACAATAACATGAATATTTGTCTGGTCAAATATCACATTAGTACTAATAAAAGCCAAATAACCCGACAAGTCAGGATTTTAACTTCTTATTTCAAAATATAAGAAGCTGAAATTTGGGCTGAAAAGTCTGAAATGAGTGAAGTTGTCTCCACCACCTGTCTCCACCTGTCTCCACCTGTCTCCACCACCTGTCTCCACCACCTGTCTCCACCACCTGTCTCCACCACCTGTCTCCACCCGTCTTTACAGTAGCAGTAAAACCGTACTGTGAGTCCTGGTCTCTCCTGTCTCTGAACCAGAAATAAGTCCACTTCAGGTCCCTAACTCTGTATCAGGTGTCACCTGTTTACCTGCTGAGTCTGTGTTTGGAGTGACCTTTGACCTCCAGCTGTGCTGCTGTTTTATTGGTTGAAGAAGTGAAACCCTGTGTCATTTGGTGACCTCTAGAGGTCCGATTGGACCCAGAACCAAGTGTTCCTGTGTAATAAAGGAGGAGCTTAGATGAGGTCATTAACCCAGAGCCGGCCTAAGTGAACTAAGTGCCTGCCTAGGGCCCCGCAGCCAATAGGAGGCCCCCAAGAGCAATCAATTAAATATATATATATATATATATATATATATATATTTGATTTTTTTCATGTATGAGTGATTCTTTCTGATCAAATATTAATTATTGTAAAAATAAAGTAAAAACATGTTAGTGCTGCTGCTGATGAAGGTCTATGATTCTTACTGCTGATATGTCAAAGCTCCGCCCACTGTTCTGTGCCTCCTGCTGTGAAATGGTCACTGAGCATCTAAAGAGCAAAAAAGGACAAATCCTTCAGGAGCCGAGAAAAGAAAGAGGAAGAGGAGAAAAACGCCAAAATAAAGGTCTGTTTGCATGTCAGGGAACGTTAATCAGAGAGATTTGTGAAGGTGTGTGAGTGATCAATAATCAATATTATTGGCAGGTATAGAGGGCCCCAAAATCACATTTTACTTGAGGCCCTATTGAGACTCGGTCCGGCTCTGCATTAACCCTTTCCTGGCTTAATGAGTAATTATAGTAATTATAGTAATTATAGTAATTATAGTAATTATAGTTATTATAGTAATGGTAATGATGGTAATGATGCGTCTCTGAACTCTACGTTCCTCTAGAACAGCTCTGGATCACAGGAACAGGTTTGATGAAGGACAGAGAAACTCGATGGTGTTTACGTGGTGTCACTGAAGGAGGCGGTCTGTCCTCGCTCAGCTGATGTCCTGACAGCTGTTTGTAGACGAGGCGTTTCTCAAATGGACCAGATCCTTCAGTGAAACCGTAAAGGTCTCTGTCTCTCTGCAGAGTGACGGAGGATGTGGTGAAGAAAAGTCTTTCTCACCCCAGTCCTGCTGCTGTTGGACCTGCAGAGACCGAGGAGGAGGAGGAGGAGGAGGAGGAGGAGGAGGAAGTGCAGAGAGTAAAGAGGATGATGATGATGAAGAAGTGCAGCAGAGTTTGTCGTTCCTGCAGCTGGGAGGAGCAGACGGAGAGTCTGCTGAGTCAGGAGAGGCTGACAACTTCAGCAGATCATTAAATCGACGACTGGAGGAGGACTAGAGAGACCCTCAGAGTCCTGCTCCTCTTTTTATCAGCACAGCTTTCTCTTGTTGTTCTGGTTCTGAGGTTTTTCTTCGGTCTTTGTTCTTCTTATACTCACATCTCTAAAACCAGCGGGCTGTGCTGCAGTCGGCAGGTTCTGGGTCAGTTCAGATCCGAGTCCAAGTCTCTGTTGACCCAAATCAATCCAACAAAATTCACTTCAACTCATTCTGTGGTTTAATAAATGTTCTTCTGTCAGCGACCTTCTCCACAGAGTAACATTTGGAAGTATTCTCCCTCCTGACAGACGGACGGACTGACCTCAATGTTTAAAATTATATTTTTAAAAGTTTTAAATTTGAATCAATAAATCTGAAAAATCTATAATTGATCTCAGTCCAAATCCAGCATCCCTGATGGTCTGGGGATCATCAGAGTCCATGTCCTGGTATCTCCCACATCTGTGAAGACTCCATTAATGCTGAACTAGATCTCCAGGTTCAGGAGGAACATCTGCGTCCATCCAGACCAGGACTTTTTCAGAGAAGACCTTCATATGATCCCAAACCACATTCTGACAACAGGAGAGGAGTCCTGCTGAGACCCTGGACTGATGTGGTCCTGACCTGAAAACATCTTTTCTATAAAACATCAACTTGAAACCAAGCGTCCCCCATGGTTTATGTTGACCCGGCTTTTTAGCTCTTGTCCGGTCTACCTCCGTTTTAAGCGCCCGTTATTCCTCCAGAGTCTCCGGTATTTACTTTGTTTTCTTGCTTGTGTCGGCAGTCGTGGCCAAAGGAGGATTCAGACAATTTTCCGAACTTTCTGGTTGGTTTCTACTGTCCGATATTGTAGCACGCTAACTTTGTTTGGGCTCCTGAACGACACGGGGAGCAGCATTTTCTTGTTGACTGTTTTCTTGCTGACTGTTTTTTGTTGACTGTTTTGGTGTTGACTGTTTATGGTTGACTGTTTTATTGTTGACTGATTATAGTTGACGTTTTCTTGCTGACTGTTTTTTCGTTGACTGTTTTCTTGCTGACTGTTTTCTCGTTGACTGTTTTCTTGTTGACTGATTATGGTTGACTGTTTTCTTGTTGACTGTTTTCTTGTTGACTGTTTTTTGTTGACTGTTTTCTTGTTGACTGATTATGGTTGACTGTTTTCTTGTTGACTGTTTTCTTGTTGACTGTTTTTTGTTGACTGTTTTCTTGTTGACTGATTATGGTTGACTGTTTTCTTGTTGACTGTTTTCTTGCTGACTGTTTTCTTGTTGACTGTTTTCTTGTTGACTGTTTTTTGTTGACTGTTTATGGTTGACTGTTTTCTTGCTGACCTGTTGACTGGTTTGGTGTTGATTGTTTTCTTGCTGACTGTTTTCTTGCTGACTGTTTTCTTGTTGACAGTTTTCTTGCTGACTGTTTTCTTGCTGACTGTTTATGTTTGAGTGTTTTCTTGCTTGTGTCGGCAGTCGTGGCCAAAGGAGGATTCAGACAATTTTCCGAACTTTCTGGTTGGTTTCTACTGTCCGATATTGTAGCACGCTAACTTTGTTTGGGCTCCTGAACGACACGGGGGAGCAGCGTCTGCCTCACAACCAATCAGGTTAGAGGAGGTGGAGAACGGCTTTGTTTACAGTCAGAAAGAGCGGACCGCTCAAAAATGTTCAAATGTTGACGACACAGACATCAGAGAACACAGAGATATCGATATATTACCAAATAATCAATAACTAATAACTATTGACTGATATTAGAAGATTTTTTGTAAACAAAATAAAAAGATGTTTCTTTAACAGAGTCCTCACTACCCCACCTTTAAATGAGAGTGAGAGAGAACGTCATGAATGAGGTCAAAGTTTAAAGACTTCCTGTCAGTCCACCGTCTCTGAGCAGAAACAGAACAGTTCTCCTCTGAACCGAGAGACGAGGACTGAGGAAACAAGGGAAGGTCGGAGAGGAGGATTCATACAGAGAGAGAGAGAGAGAGAGTCGAACTGACGCAGAGACTTCGAGCGAGGAAGAGTCACTGAGCGCTGCTTTAATAGAGGCTGACTGCAGCGCACACACACACACACACACACACACACAGAAAAAGACACAGGCTGGAATAAATGCATAGTTTATCATATCATAACAATAAATCTTCAAGGCTACAGAGTAAATCAAACAGTCTAGTAAAGTTGAGGAATCGTAGCCGACTCGATGAACAGGAAGTGAGGTGAACAAACCGTGTCATCATCAGGAAGAGGTACGTCGAATATTTATGCTCATTCTGTGAGGCAATGCAAGACAAAAGTTGCTCTAAAAGGTCAAAGGTCAAACTGCTGCAACTACTGAGATTATTATCATTATTATTATTATTATCATTATTATTATTATTATATACTGAGTGATGATCGCCCTGCATGTCAAAGAGCTACGAGCTAACGGAGATCACCGTTTAGGCTAGGTCTGCTACAGTACAGTATCGCTTAAAGTTCCTCTAGATACCTGAATACAAAACAGCTTCCTGCTGCTGAAGAGAGAGAGAGAGAGAGAGAGAGAGAGAGAGAGAGAGGAAGAGAGAGAGAGAGAGAGAGAGAGAGAGAGAGAGAGAGAGAGAGAGAGAGAGAGAGAGAGAGAGAGGGAGGGGAAGAAAAGAAAAGTCTGTCATTCCTCTTTAGGCATTCTTGTTTTTAAAAAGACTGAAAGTGCAGAACAGGGTCTCAGGGAGGATCCACGGGGGTCTCAGGGGGTCTTCAGGTGAGGTGATCGTTGGTCATCACATCAGTGGAAAGTGCATGAAGTCTGGGGGGGGGGTCACTGAGAGGGTCTGCTGGGCTCAGAAAGACGAGGACTGGATATAAAGATGGACGACATGACGGCTCCACTAAATGAAATAAGAAACATTTAGAGCTCCCCCTGCTGACGGCCTGCTGTATGGCCTCCTACATGGTTTCCATGGTTACAGTCAGTTCTTCTCATGCTGGTTTATGTTCCAGTCCCTTTTTTAAAATATTATCTTTAAACTTTGATGTTATTAAACGGTGAAACGGACTTTAACTGACACACAGCGCTGTGTGTGTGTGTGTGTGTGTGTGTGTGTGGAGGAGGAGAATTTCGTGGCAGATTACAGACAACAGGAATTACAAGAACCTGCAGATTCACGTTCAATCCCGCGATAACGAGTCGTCTCTCTAAAGACAGACACATAGACATATAAGCAGTAGATTGTGTCCTTCCAGAGGAGGAAATCTACTTCTAGACGTTTGCATGGTGTGAAATACGATCCTCCTGAAACACGGAGTGTTTTATTTTGAAAAGAAGCCGGATGTTTTATTTTGTGTCTGTGCCCGACTTCCTTTCCAGCACGGGTTAATCTGTGCTGAATTTATCCGCCATGCTCCGGCGTCCAGAAGAAATCGAACTCTCTGCTCTGTGATCATGGTCCAAACTGTCTAACATACATTTAAAGAGTGAAAGACGGGTCAGAACAGGGTCTGATCCTGATGATCAGGTAGGGGAGAGCGGGTTAAGATGATCCGTGTTTCCGGATCAGTCCATCAGGTCAGTCCTAGTTTAGTCTCTGACTCAGGAAGTTCTTCATCAGAATGAGAGTAAACAGAACTGTCATCTTCAGAGGAGAGCAGGACAACAACAGGGTCTCCTATGGTCAACTTACCCCGGGTATGGGGGGTAAGTTGACCATAGGAGACCCTCCCTCACCTTCTCTCTCCCTCAATAACAGTCACTTCTTCACATTCATGTGTATTTTTATCTATTTTACTCTATTTAACTGGAACAATCATTCTGTTTATTATTATTACATATAACTAAGACAGTGACTGAGAACATCCACAGATCTGTGTTTATGAAGAGAAGAAGTTTCAACAGTCTGAAGGTAAACTCTGATCCTCTCCTCAGACTCCTTTACTGTCTCTGTTCCCCCTGAACTACTATGAGGACTTTATTAGTCCTCCAAGATTAAATGGTGGACTTTGAGGTTTCTGACCTCCTGTTGGAGCTCAGAGGAACCACAGTTGATGATAAAACTCTTTTAAAATGATCTTTATTTCTAATCAAACTAAAGACTAAATTCACTTTAACTGTCGAACCTCTTCTTCACCCATGAGCTTCGAACCTTCACTGACTCCATGAACTGATGACCATCTCCGTAAGATTTGGTCACATGATCAATTTCTTTGGCTATTGACAAAGAAAGGGGGGTTGGGGCTCATCTTACCCCGGTCTCCCCTATTGTTTAAAACTGACGATGCAGCATCTATGATTTCCAGTTCTTTGTTAAAAGAACAACTGGACCAAAAGAGTGTTGGATTTGGATCCATCAGACCTCCGGACAGGTCAGTGATCTTCAGACCATGCTGTGACTCCAACTCCAGAGTCCTGATGCTCCTGAACCTGTAGATCTAGTTCAGCATTAATGGAGCCTTCACAGACGTGGACTCTAGTGATCCCCAGACCATCAGGACTAATTCCAACTCACCCTTTGGCTCAACTGACCCCGGTCTCCCCTACATTCTAATTTTGTTCTGACCGGTCCGTAAAAGTCCAGAACTGTCTCAGTCTTTGTGTTTCTCCTCAGTTCTGCTCCTTTTTTAAAATCATTTTTAGAAACTCAAATATTCAAATATTGAAATGATTCTCAGATTGATCAATAATCTATAATCCCCCCCCCCCCCCCCCATGAACTTTTTAAACTTAAACCAGAACACCGAGTCGAACCTGAACCAGGATCATGTGGAGGATCTGGACTCAGTGAAGTCCATGAAAAACAGCCACTCTGGAGGATTCTGGTCTCTCTGAGCCCAGCAGACCCCTGCCCCCCCAATCCAGCCCGGACTTAAAGGATCTTAGAGTTTGAGGAGAACCTCCATTTTACCTGCAGCATGCAGACATGGACCCGGACCGAGACCCGGACAGAGACCCGGACAGAGACCCCCTGAAGGATCCGGAGGAGTTTGGAGACTCTTTGGGATCAGGGAGGTCCAGAAGAGACCAGAAGAAGAAGCTAAAAGGATCTGCCCCCCCACCATGCGGAACACTGATGCATCCAGCAGCACGTGCCCCCCTGTCCTCTCTTAGGTCCTCAGTCTGGATGCGCTCGTGTCTCTCCTCGCGCACATTCCTCCTCGTGCGTGTCAGGTGTGTGTGTGTGTGTGTGTGTGTGTGCGCGGCGGTCACCTACAGAGCGTGTGTAGGTGCGTGCGTGCGTGCGCGCGTGCCCCGCAGTCATCATCCCAAGCTCGTGCACTGGTTGCGGTGGGGCGGCTCGGTGCTGGTGCTGTTGGAGTTCGGGTCCGGGGTCCAGAAGAAGACGTAGTAGATGACCAGGATGAAGGCGGACACGGACACGCACAGGAAGTACACGATGGCCATGGCCACTTTGACCCAGATCCGGGTCGACATGTTGGCGTGTTTGGACCGGAGCTCTCCGGGGTAGCTCGGCCTCCGCTTCAGGTCCCCGTTCAGCTTGTCCGCCGGTCCCGGTCCAGGTCCTGGTCCCGGTCCCTGTCTCCCGGCCGCCTTCATCTCTGGATCCGCACTGAGACCTCCTCCTCTGTCTTCATCGGAGTCCGGACAGCAGATCCCGCTGTCCCCCCTCTCCCCTCCTCTCTGATGCGGACCCGAGTCAGGGTTCAGTTCGGACCGCAGAGCCGCTGATCCGGACCCGCAGACTCCGCTGGTTCTGGTCCGCAGGACGAGGAGCTCGTTGACCCCTGGAAGTCCTCAGTGCGCATCAGGAGAACTGAACTCACAGATCTGGGCTCTGGTATCAGCTGGATGGGACCACTGACAAGCTGGACCGGGTCAGAGAGGGAGTTTCCGGGACAGACTTTCAAAATAAAACAGACTGTAGGATCAAACGGAGGGTCCTCCAGAGTCCTGACTCAGAGAAAGACCTAGAACCAGAGACCGGACACGGACTATCACAGAGGGGACTTTGGTTCTTTGGTTCATATTGATCTAATTCAGCGGCCTGGTCAATAAAACAATCAATTAAACTCAATGAAAACAATAAAAGGATCAATATTTCAATTCTCTGAAACAACAGTATCTACAACAAAAAGATCTGCAGAACTAAAAAAATCTGAAACGACATTTGAGGTGATTTAAGATAAAAAAAAACAGTTAGTATTTGAAAAAAACAACAAAAACAGCTAATTCAGAATCTTCAAAATCAGATTTTTATATATATGTGTGTATATATAGATATGTATGTACAAATGTATATAAACATATACATATGTATGTACATACATATATATACACACACACATATATATGTATACATATATAAATATATATAAATGTAAACGTATGTATATACATATGTATACATACATATATGTATGTATCTATATATCTATCTATATACATATGTATATACATACATATATGTATATATACATACATATATGTATATATACATATATGTATGTATCTTTATATCTATCTATATACATATGTATATACATACATATATGTATATATACATATATATATATATATATATGGGTCAAAGTACTGGAGGATATTTCAGTCCCTACAGTTTGGCAGCAGACAGGAAAACCAGCCTGTAAACTGTGACTGTAGAGAAGTGATGGGAGCTGATGTTCATATTTCTAACCCACTGAATTCTGTAATGAACGGCTCAGAAAACTCAATGAAAAGAGTTTTTTTTAAAGGTGACTGTGTGATTGAAAGTGATCCAGACAACAAACAGAAATACAGTAAATATCCCAACATGACAACACAGAGTAACTCTGAGACCTCGACTGTTTCTCAGTCCATCAGGAAGGTTTTTGGTTTTTATTCCTTAACTGCTGCTGTTAGTGCAGGACACTTTAACTTAAAGCTCAAAGGTCCTTAAAAATGCTCAAAGACCTTCTGTATTTGAGGATGGGACTATTTTCTGAGCAGTTATTTCAATTCAGGAAAAAAGGGCGGGAATCCTCTTATTCTGAAGGGCACGTGTCCGTACTTCCGGCCCCGCTCCCCGTGTTTGTTTCCGGCTTTGCTGCAGTTTCGGACGAGGAGGGGCTGAAAGTACGCAACACCCAACGATTGGGTCATAGTTTGAGAGAAACGTCCCGCAGCAGAAGAAAGAGAAGGAGAGAGCTGCGGTGGTGAGCCACAAATTATCCCCGCCGAGGAGCCTCCCCTCCCGGCTGCAGCTCCTCCGAGGAGCCGCTGAGAGAACCATGAAACAGAGACTGTCCTTCACTACAAAGGACTGACTCCTCACAGCAGACTACAGCAGCCATTAAAGACAGGAGGGGGGGCTGAGGAGCTCCTTTCAGACCACCACCACCACCATCATCATTATTATTATTATTATGGTCTGTTAACAGAGGAGGGGAGGGGGGGGTTCTTCTCCCTATCCTGCAGCAGCCAAGGTCAAAACACGGAACAGAGAACAGCAGCACTCAGAGTATTCAGAGTGTGTGTTCAGAGAGAGTGTGTGTTCAGAGTGTGTGTTCAGAGAGAGTGTGTGTTCAGAGTGTGTGTTCAGAGAGAGTGTGTGTTCAGAGTGTGTATTCGGAGTGTGCAGAGGGCAGAAACTGAGCTGAACATAAGTGCTGGGGGGGGGGCTGCAGCCTCACCAGCACGTTTCAGAGGACGTGATCATGTGGACTCTGATGAACACTTTAACAAACATGTCTCTGAAACCAAAGAAGAAGACAGCAGAGGTCAGAGGGAGACATTTATTTTCAGAATAAGAAAAAAAAACAGCAGCAGAGGAGGAGAGAAGGAGGTGAAAGCTGTACAAACACACATCAGGCTGCTCCTCCAGGACGTGATTTCATCGATGGCTTTAAAAACATTAAAGGGATATTCTGCTGTAAAATTATTGTAGGGTCAAACCCACCGTAACACCGAGTTAGACCCCCCCTCCAGAGATGAATGTTGTCGACCGCTTGCTTCTCTAGTTATACCAACTTTAGTAACGACCGCAGGATAGAAATACAGAGAGCCACGCCCTCAACCAAAACGCCACAAATAATGCTCAGAACAGCACCTAACTTCATCTAAACATATCTCACCTACTGTCCATTATGGACTACAGCGGGGTGCCGCAGCTCAAGGAAGAACATTTATGATCATTTCTTCATGGAAATACAATCAGACCGAGACGCTAAGACAGAAGAACTACCACGTCTGTAAAATGATCAATATGGTGATTATTACTTCAAGGAAATGATGAAGAAATATGTACTAACCTCAGTAGAACATGATGTTGTTCCGTTCAGTAACAGAACCTCATTGGAAAATTATCTGATTTAAATTTACTGTGCTCTTGTTCAAATATATTAACTCGACAGCACATAAATCTATACCTGTTAACAAAATCATGATTTTATTGATAATTCGGCTTAGGAGTTAAAAGAACTCTGAATATAGTACTATGTCTGTGACCCTATATGTCCTGTTGATGAAGTTAGGTGCTGTTCTGAGCATTATTTGTGGCTATAGAGTGGCGTTTTGGTTGAGGGCGTGGCTCTCTGTATTTCTATCCTGCGGTCGTTACTAAAGTTGGTATAACTAGAAAAGGAAGCGGTCGACAACATTCATCTCTGGAGGGGGGGTCTAACTCGGTGTGAATTCGGTGGGTTTGACCCTAAATTAATTTTACTCCAGAATATCTTCTTAAACAGCTACAAGTTCAGATTCTTGCTCATCCTCAGACCTCCATGAAAACAGAAGCGACTCCTCCTCTGATAAATCTACAGACACAGTCGAGCTCAGAAAAACAAAACAACTCAGAGGAAACGTAAAAATGAGGATCAGTGGCGCTCACAGGCCACGCCTCCAACACCCCTCCCCCTTCCCCCCCGGGTCAGGAATGTTTCTTTGCTTTAAAAACTGTACAGAATTCATTTCTATTCAATCAACATGCATCGTTTCATCCCCCTGATCAAAAACACTCAAACATTAAAGCGTCCGGTTTCTTAGCGTGTCCTCGAACAGAAGAGCTGCTACAGAGACACGGGTCAGAGTCCGGGTCAGAGTCCGGGTCTGCTGAGGTACGGCTGAAGGTTCCGGTCCAGAACCAGGTCCAGCTGAAGCCCAGAGTTCATCTTTAAAGCAGAATTCATCCAAACAGTCGGAGTAACATGAGCGTGACTTATCTTCTACAGGAGGAGCACGTGAGGAGGAGGAGGAGGAGGAGGAGGAGGAGGACAGGAGCAGAAGAACAGGAGGCGCACCCCTCCTCCTGACTGCTTCAGTTCTGAGGAGGAGAACCAGGGATCATGACTCTGCTGATCCGGGTCCATCAGAGTCAGTCCGCATCAGAACAAACATCAAACAGACGCAGAATCACTGCGACGGGAAAAAAAAGACGCTCGGAGAAAAAGATCGGCTTTTTCCGAAGAAAAAAACAAACTCAGAGGTGTGTGTGTGTGTGGGGGGGGGTCTAAACCTGCTCTGAGTCCAGATTTAACCCGGACTCATTAGACCCCAAAGGATTCAGACTCTGACCATGACTGGGTCTGTTACCATGGCGATGAGGAAGTTAAAGAAACTCAGACTGAGAAAGGAGCGATGGCGGTGAAACGGCGGTGAAACGGCGGTGAAACGGCGGTGAAACGGCGGTGAAACGGCGGTGAAACGGCGGCGGATTAACATTTAAGGGTTTAAAGGAAAAAAGAAGTCCTCAGAACCTGATCCAGGAGGGTCTGATAAAGAGGACTCTCTAATCCAGCAGACTTAAAGACCGGCAGACTGACGGGGGTCTCAGAGTCTGACCGAGGAGAACTTCACAGGAGGTCTGACGGGGGGGCAGGATCCGGGTCAGACCTGGTTCTATGGTGGACTGGACTGTCTGTGGTGAGGGTCCTAAAGGGCTAACCCAGATGAGGTCAGGAGGTCTGAGGACCACCCTGAGTCTGCAGAGGTCCCCCATACAGAACTACAAAGAGTCCAGATCCTGAGACAGTCTGAAGACCCTGAACCTGAACACCAAAACTCCTGTGAGGGTCTGAAGAGGTCCTGGTCTCTGAAAACCTCCACTGATAAAGGGGGGGGGGGGTCTTTGATGGTTGTGATGGTTCCTCCTGGTTCCTCCTGGTTCCTCCTCCTCTCTGTGTTCTGATGTGTGGAGGTCACTCCAGTGTTGACCGCTCTGTTGTTCCTCCTCCTCCTCCTCCTCCTCGTTCCTCCTCCTCCTCGTTCCTCCTCCTCCTCCTCCTCCTCCTCCTCGTTCCTCGTTCCTCCTCCTCCTCAGTAGACTCTCGTTTCCCAGCAGCTTCAGCCTGATGAAACAAACACGAGGAGGAAGTGGTTAGTGTGTGTCTCTGTTTGTGTATGTGTGTGTTTTTGTGTGTGTCACTGATTGGTGCTTTAATCCAGATCACCTCCTGGTACATTTATCTTCATCTCCTCATCTTCATCATCATCATCATCACTATCATTCTCACCATCATCAACAGCATC